CAGCACAGTGTGTGCATGACCCCAAGCTCCACAGTACTGGGTGTGCATGACCCCAAGCTCCGCAGTACTGGGTGTGCATGACCCCAAAGTCTGCAGCGCTATAAACGAACTCAGTCCCTCTGCAAGAGCAACAAATGCTTTTAACCACTGAGTCATTTCTCCAGCCCCTATACTTTATATTTTTAGAGCCATTTTAGGCTTATAAGGAACTTCTCAGAAATAACATGTTTAGTTCATACCCACAATCCCCCAGGATGGATGTAGGCCCTACTATTCTATGACATTTTGTGTTCTGACAAATAAAGCTTGCCTGGAAATCAAAGGGCAGAGCTAGCCACAAGTTAACCATAGAAGCTTGGTGGTGGTGGCTCATGCCTTTATTCCCAGCACTCAGGAGGCAGAGGCAGGCAGATCTCTGTGAGTTCACGGCCAGCCTGGTCTACAGAGCGAGTTCCAGGACAGCCAAGGCTACACTGAGAAACCCTGTCTTGAAAAACAAAACAAAACAAACAAACAAAAAAGATTCCTTTGTGTTTTCTTACAGCATTGCAGTTCCTATATTTTGAGCACTGAATGATATCCCAAACTGGAATATACCACAGTTTACTCAGTCATCCAGCTGTTGAAGGACATCTTGACTGCTTCCCACTTGAGCAATTACAAATAAGTATACCATAAACATCTCAGAACAGGGTTTTGTATGGATCAAAGTTTCCAGCTCCTTTGGGCAAATAATGAGGGTTGGGACTGCTAGATCACACAGTGAGTGCTTGTTTCCCATCATGGCTGCATAGCTTGGCTTTTATCTGCAGTATGAGAGGCCCTGCAGCCCCACACCCTTGCCAACACTTAGTTTTGTCAGTGCTCCAACTTTGGCCACTGGACAGTGTACAAAGCTATCTCCCCATTGATTTGACTTGTATTTTCCTCTTCAGCAGTCTTTCCCATATGCATTCACCATCTGTGTGTGCTCTGAAATGTCTTGCGTAAGCAAAGGCTGCACTTTCCTTTTCCCGCCACCCAGACCCAAATAGTCACACAGAAATGTGTTAATTAAAACTCTGCTTGACCAATGGCTTAGGCATATTCCTAACTAGCTCTTACATCTTAAATTAACCCATTTCTTTTCATCTGTATATCACCACAAGGCTGTGGCCTATGGATAAGGATCTGGCGTCTTTCTCCTTCAGTGGCTACGTGGCATCTCCTTGACCCCACCTACTCTTCCTCTCTATCTCTGTTCAGATTTCCTGCCTGACTTTACTCTGCTGAGCCATTGACCAAAAGAGCTTTATTTATTAACCAATAAAAGCAACACATATACAGAAGGACGCCCCACACCAGTCTTGTTTGTGGCTTGGACCATATTTCAACTGGCCAATTCCCTTTCTTGTAGAGTGATATTTCTTTTGTATGTTATGGGGGTTTAAATGAGATTGTCCCCCACAGACTTAGATGTGCGAATGCTTTGTCCCCAGTTGGTGGTGCTGTCTGGGAGGTTTAGAAGGTGTGGCTGTTAGAAGTGTGTCCCTGAGGCAGCCTTCCATGTTCCTATCTCGGCCTGCTCTCTCTGCTTCTCGTTTGGGGGTCAGGATGGGAGCTCCTGGCTGTTTCCACCATGATCTCCTGCCATGATGGACTCTATCCCTCTGAAGCAGTAAGCCCATAGAAACCCTTTCTTCTATAAGCTGTCTTGGTCATGGTGTTTTAACCCTGCAATAGAAAAGTAACTGATCCACAAATCATCTGGTCATTGTCCTTTTGTATATTCAGACGCTGAAGAAAACAGGGACATCCACACAGAAGGACACTGCTCAGTGGCCAGGGGACAAGGCCGGTTGTGAGTCACCACAACGTGACTGAATCTCACACAAGGAGGGGAGAGGGAGATAGTGCTTTACAGGTTGAGGAGGGGTGTGAGGGACTGCAAGGGGTTGGGAGGAAATGCCAGGGTAACCAACCTGTTGTGCTTCAGAACTGTGGTTACATGACTGCTCCTATGTGAGAAACTGAACACCTTCGGTAGAGGATTCATTGCCCACAAACCAGGCCTAAATGAATGTCCCACCCCTACCCCAGGAACAGTGTGTGCCACCCAGTCCTGCTCTTAAAAAAGAAAAAATGAGCCCAGACCAGAACCAGAATTCACGGAGGTCCTGGAGGGACTACGAACTTTATAGCAGGCTGTCAAGGACCTGCTGCCCTTTGGTCTTGTACCAGCCTCCCCTAGCAAGCCAGCCAGTTTGCCCTGTACCCTTCAAAGCCGAAACTACCCAGAAACAAGATCAGCAATCCCTTGAGAAAGACAAGCAGAGGTATAACAGGAGGGCAGAGGTGGAAGGAAAAGTGGAAGAGAGGAGGGGGAAACAGAAGGGCTGAGAAGGGGCGGGGGGAGGAGAGAAGCATGGAAGGGAAGCGGGGAAAGCTGAGGAAAGTAAGAAGG